TTTTTCAACCTCCTCTGAACATTGTTTTCTTCTTCAATTTCCTGCCTCGTTTATTGTCTGGCACCAGTGCAGAACATCAGGAATTTAACCTCCCTTAACCTCAATTCTTTCCTTAGGGCGTGATGAATTAAAACCCTTAAGTCTGTCAAACTGCCCTCCTTCCTGTAGTTATAACTGATTCTTTTCTATGTGACATTTCCCAACAACTCCTCTTAAGATGTAGAATCAGGCCTTATTCAGAATAGTCCTTTGTAGTTAAAAGTTCCATGTTTAAATAAAACAAATACCATTTTATTCAATTCTAAAATTTGAAAACCAGACACAATGCTCTGTAATAGTGAAGATCTTAATAATTTTCAAATGATTTTGATTGCTGTATTTCCAGTCATTCACTGGTTTAATCCTAGTCATCAGTGATTCTATTAAGTGAAGCACACAATATGCTCAGTCTGTTTTATGAGGCCTCCAACCATCCTATATAAATTAACACCCCACTCTCACTCTCCGACCTCCTCATCTTGCTCTGTTTTTTTCTTCATAGCACTTCTCCATTAGGTATTACATCACTAGAAATGAAAGTTTTAGGACAACTTTTGGACAAATTTGTCCATTTTCTTCACTATCATTTTGCTAGGTTAGAACAGTCTGGCACCTACGCAATCAAACATTTGACATGAGGTGGTTGGCTGGTTGGCTGAAGGATAAATATCTCCAAAAGTAAAACAAAGACACAAAACCATACACATAGATATAACCGTTCAAAAAGTATTTTTCTCATCTTGACGCCAAGTGATTAGCATATGCGCTGATGAAATCAGTACTTGTTTTCTACAACATCCCCCTTATCTATAGTCTAGAAACCATATCAAAACAAGTAAATGTTTGGCATTACTTGTTCCAAGAAAAGACATGCTTATTCAGGGATCACTAATTTCTTCTACAAATGCTCAAAAAACCCCATAAATTTAATAACCATTCCGGTATTTAACCTAAAACAGACAACACTTTAGTCTCATTCTGGACTCCACCTGTCTCCATAATTTCCCGAAAGCTATTGCAAATGTTCTACATAGTTTCTGAGCCTAGAGATTTAAAGCAACTAAATACCTTAACTACCTTAGATGTCTATTCTTAATTGTCTATTTATGCTTGTTTTCCTGTTCGAGAGTCATTATCATTCCTCGAGGTACAAGAAAACATGGAGAGGAAATTGAGTACTCTTTGTCTTCTTTGTAGTTATAACTACAAACAAAATTTGCAACATTATTTCAAAATACTGAGACCAGCTTTCCCTGGAGCTTTAAAAATAGCTTAAAAAAGTAATTTGAGTGGAAACATTTAGAAAATCAGCCAGTCCAAAAGGTAAATTAAAAGTTTGTGTGAATCCTTTGTAGGCATCAGGCCAATTCTGAAGTATTTGAGATAATGAAAGTGCTCCAGCCAACAAACATACCCTCAAAAAGACACTGTGGTTTAAAACATTTACCTTCCTGAACACCGCCAATAATAACAAAAACTCCTCTTCCTGCTCTTCAAAACCTCACTAAGCCCAGTTTATGTTCTACTCATTAAACAAACAAGTCTCAGCAAACTGTATACTTTCAAATCACAAGAACCCCTCATTAGTAAACAAGAAAAATAATATTTCTTTGGTCACTTGGTTTTAGGTCAACAGCAAAAAACTAGGGTGTGGAGTATGCACAGCATGCTGGTCTGTAAGAGTTTAGAAGATGACAGAGTTGAGTCATATAAACTTGCTAAACCAATAGAACCAGTTTATCAGAAGAGAGGAGCTTCCTACCCTGCCTTGCAATAGAATAAAATACAGGTTTTCCACAGAAGCAGTAATATGGCATTTTCAAAAAGTTCACTGGATGCTGTTCAAAACACAAAATGAGGATGTCATCTATCCTGTATCAAATGTACTTTAAGTTAGAAGCAACCTCAGTTGTGAAGCCATTCGAACAGTTAAAGGATGTATATAAACACAGGATTATAAAGGATCTCCTTTTCTTCTAGCAAAATATTAAAGTGGAAAAGTTAAAGCATGCTGAAATGCTACATTCCTAATTTATTGATTTGGACATTGCACCTGAAGCATTTCTGCAAAATGGTAAGTTTCCAGATAACTCCAAGTTACAGGAAAAACAGGGAGTAACAGTAACTGCATTTGGAGACTTGAACTAAGGGGGGATAAAGGCTGGGAAAGAGCCTTTTTTACACTTTTTTGTTTTTAACTGTATGCATTGGTAAAAATAAGGGAAGCATCCATACCATCTGATGCCTTCTGGGAATTCAAATTCAGTATTATCAGCTTCTCATTTTTCAGGGGAAACCAGAACTCTGGATTTTATGTGAAATCCCCCAATTTTAAAATGTTAACAATTACTTTTTTAAGCATTGTGGGTTGAACTGTATTGGTTATATCCTGAACAGGGCACCTTGCAAGATGGGAGAAGGGTAGTGGTGGTGAGTTTCGGACTTCTCAACAGCAAAAAAAAGTGGCTGGGCTTGCCCAGAGAAGAGGTGCCTTTTCCTAATTCTCACAATGTACCTACACAGACAGCAGTGGCCCTGCTTCTCGCAATCTCTGGATTAGATGATAGAATTAAAGCATTAACGCTGGAGATAACTTATGTGCCACCGATCTATCCACATATCTATGAGGATAACATCATTCTAACAATCCAAGTTGCTCATCTGCTAGGCTTTTTATTCTTCCAGCAATGGCAGTTGATTGCACTTAGGCCTTCTGATTTTAAGTGATATGTCTGTGACACACCATCTTTAATAGTGCCAGGTGCCTGTGTTACTGTGTATAGTCAAAGATGTGTAATATATGTTTGTGAATATGTATTCATATTCACAAATAACCAAATAACAGATACAGCAGCAATAGCTTTTTGTTACTGAGTTTATATAAAGTTCTGAAAAACCTTCTTCCAAGATTTTGGAGAAGTTATTTGTAGAAGTGGGTTGGGCAGGGTTATGTGTGTTATGAATATTTAAATTGATAGCTAAGCATCTCCTCACAGGTGGAAGAAAACTACTGTAATACTGGTCTTCCCAGGACTTTCCTCCTTGTCTAAAAACAAGCACACAGAAGCCAATGTGTCACAATATAGAGTGTATCAGGCTGGGAATAAGGAAACCTGGTTTCTAATACAAGTCCTGCTACTAGCTAGCTATGTAGATGTTTTCTAAGATGGTTCTAGTTCTTAAGAAAATTAATTCATGCTTTTAAAAAACAGTCATTGAGGTAAAGATTGGTTTTAAGACTTTTAAAAAATTGATAAAATGTTGAAGTAGAAAATTAAGTAGTTCCCAGTGAGGCTTCATCACATAATAGGAGGAGCACACAATAACTATTATTGGCACACATGGACTATCTAGGAATTCCCTAGTTATTATAAATCTAATTATGGCAAAGAAATATGCATTCTGCTTCCAGTGCTACTCCATTCCTAGCTACTTTCTCAAAATCCTATCAGCTCTGCAGGGTTTGCTATAAATAGCTCATGTCTGTGATACAAAGTAGTAATTGAGTTGCTCCTCTCCTTTTTTTTTTAAACAAATATCCATTTTTTAAATAAGGAAGACTGGGGGGTGGGGACCACAAAGAGGTGGAAAATAAGAAGAAAGCATCATCAAATGTTTGTTTAAAATTAAAAAGAAGTTTGCTACCTAATCATTTTACAACTACTTTAAAACTATTTTCCTCAATTTATATTCAAGTGATTTTACAGCAATAAAGGTAAGAATACATGACTTTTGTTTCCATTAAACTTGCCTACTAATAATCATCTTAATAAACAAAGGGGGCTGAGGGAGATAATGAAATATGAACTAAAAGGCTTTAAAAGCAGATGTAATGAAGATAGAAAATTGTACAATGTCTATATTTGCTAACTCCTATTGCTTAGTGGGAGAAGTCAGGGCTGCCACCCAGTGGCAATGTAAGTCTTTAAATGATTTGAAGATTTAGAGAATTAAAAAAACATTTAAAATAAAACAAATTAAAAAAACCCAAAATCAAAAACCTCATGAATTAGACAACTTCAATTTTAGAATCAGTAATTCTGGTGTCTTAAATGTCTGTTCATAACATATTAAAGAATGGAAACATTCATTTGCATAGGCAGCATTGGGGAAATTTTTTAAAATCTCATGACTTTCTACTATTTACTAAGTTATGTGGTTTTAGTAAGTATTTTCTATTAAAATATTGAAAGTACTTTGCTTAAATTAAATCTCCAGAATTTATAGTGGGGGGAAAAGCTGTGACCATAAAGTATAACTGGTTTTCTTCTGTGATGTATAGAAATAGATTAAATACGCTACAGTAGCCTCTCAGCCATACACCCAAACTTCTGCTTGATAAACAAAAACTTAATAGAAGCATCTGCAAAAATGAGATTCTAAAAATAATTTTCCCTTACCATTAGCACATCGCATCTTTTCCTCAGGTATACATCAATTTTAGTATCCCAGACAATAAAATTCAAAGCTGAAAGAAGAAAATGAGAATAGTAGAAATACTATGCCTGATAATTACTGATTTTTTTTTTGGTGGGGTTGGGGAGAACCAAGTATCTCACTGCCTCTTACTTCTTCAAACTTTGGCCATAGCTTTTTTCACACTGACACAGATATAACATATTCAAAAACAAGATGCTTTGGTAAAATAACACTAGGGGAAAAAAATAACACTAGAGCATCCATTTACAGTTTGAAAAGCTAAATATCTCAGAGACTGTTTTGTTCTCTTGAATAACCAGATGAGAGAGAAGCACCAAAAACAAAGAAAAAAAAACTTAGGAATTTACAGATTTTTGTTTCCAACAGTTGTAAATTTAAATTGTACACGATATGTTTTCTAACCTATGTCCCGTATGTTTTGCTTTACACTGAAGACAACAAACGAATTTTGAAAAATAATGACAGACACAACATACTTGATATTTACAATGGCTTGTGACAAATATAATACTTGAAAATAATTTCTAATTTTCCATTTATTATTGCTATTTAGTCACAGAAAAGATTAACAACTGTCCAAGAAATTTATTTTAGCATATGCCATATATTGATATAGATATAATAATTTTATATGAAGAGAACCATTGCAGAAGTAACTAAGGTGGTGCCCTTACAAGGAAATAATGGAAAGGCAATAAAGAAATTCTTCCATATAAAGACTTTCGATTTGTATCATTTTTTCAAAATATAAAACCTTAATATTAGAAGCGAAGAGAAAAAGAGCAAAAAAACCCAATAAAACAGAAGACCAAGGATAAGGAATTGCTCTATGCAGATGTTTGGCATATGTAGTATATATGTATGAACTGAGTTATAATAAAAATACTTATGTATTATAGTCAATTTTCATATAGAGTTAGAAACAGCGATTTCCAATCAAGCATGACTGGACTGATATTTTCTCAGTCTTCACATGACGAATTACAACTGTATAGCAGTCACTTCTGGTCAGCAGTATCATGATAAATGTTTGATAAGATACAATTTTTCTCCTTGTTCACTTGTAAAAATTGGTGCCTTTTTGTAATGTTCTACAAGTTCTTCCATGGTGCTGAATTTACGCTGCCCAATGCAGTAGACAGTCTCTTTTAGCTGGACTTTAAAATGCTTGTTTTTCCCTTGTGCTTTTAGTGATACTGAAAAATCATTTGGCTAAAAGAGAAAAAAATTTTGAAAGACATCTATTAGCATTTTTATATTAAACTAATAACAGCTAAAATGTCAGCACTTTAAGTACTAGGCACAATACTAAATTATTTACATGAATTATCTCTTTTATGCCTCAAAGCAAACCCATTTTACAGATGAAAAAAAAATCAAGGCTGAAGAGAAGCTAAGTTGCCTAAGATCATCCATCTAGTTAACAAAAGAGCCAGGATTCAAATCGAAGCAGCCAGACTCTTAAGTCTCTTAACTATTATGCTCTACCTAACACCAGGGCAAATTCTTTAGTCTAACATCTGAAGCATAAAAACTATCTTCTCTCCATTCAAACTACTGGAGAAACATAGGAGAAAATCCAAGACATCCACCCCTTTTCAATTAGTAGCTAACAGTAGCTGTCTTACAGAGTAAATACTCTGAAATCTCAAAGATGAAGGACACAAAAATGAGAACTAATTTAAACTCTAATAAGAGGTCATAAACTCAAATGTCTATAAGGGGCAAAAAAGAAATGTAAAGAATGGCCAGGGTGGCTATATAGGGGGAAACAACAGTACATGGCCAATCTAAAGGAGGTGGCCACTTAGCTGCAATTGTTGCCTTGTAGGAATACGGCTCAACATTGACAGGCCTTCCAATTTTAAAAGGGAAATCTGATGTCTAAATTCGTATACTAAATCTCCCAATATTTAAAAACTGACAATGAATTCAAATGTTTAAAAACACTGTTCAGGTCAAATGAAATATGCCTATTTGAGACCTCTACTTTAAAAATTCTACTACTAAAAGTAATGGTATATTTTGGATAATATCTATACTTAATTACCCACAAGAAAATACACGGTATTTTGCAATCAAGTTTTAGGTTTGTTTTTTTTTAACCTTACACTCTTTTGAATAGTCTATATCAACCTCTTATACAGTTACTGCCGAAGTTTCAAACAGTGGGTTCCTTGGAAACATCTTATGGTTATTTACCACCCACTCCAGGGTCACTCCCTTCTAATCCTTCTGCCCACTGCTTGTCCTAGAAAGTAGGGCCAGGTCAGGCAACTAACAGAAAACAAATCCCACCACTCTTCCCTATCATCAATCACCTTCTCTTTCTGAGGGGTTATGTACAGGCCCCCATTTCCTGAACTTCACATCAGGCAGTTCAATTAATTTCAGTCTCGCCCTCTCATCTTTCCCACCCCTCACCCCTTAAACACACACACACACCACTCAAACAGATAGGTTTTCTTTCTTTCTTTCAATCTTCTGTACAATCATACATTAACTTTTGTACAAATACATATACACAAAAAAAGCCAATACTACTCATGGAAAAGTAGTGATATCCTTTATCAAGGAAAAATAAAGGCCATTTTTAAGGGAAATGAGTATTGTCAAATTCTAATACCCAAAAGAGCCCACATAACTATTTTCTTATTCAATTTTTATGGTTTTACAGTTTTATTGTTTTACTAGTATTGGAACAGAATTTATCTTTTATTGCAAATGCACTTCAAATACAGAGTGCATGTTCAAATAGGTTTCTGAGGTATGTAATAGTGTATTCCAACTTCCAAACAAGCAATTTATAAAAAAGCAAATATCAATTTTTTAAATTCAGGGATTTCCTTTATTGTAAGGATGACAGTGTATTCATTATGCAATTTAAGAAATGTTTTCCCAGTTTAGTCTACTGCATTGTTCTACTCTCAGTGAAGAAACCAGTGTTCAATTTTCTCCATTTTTCACTTTAATGCAAAAGAAAGTATTTCAGGAAGGCAAAACCAACAGAACTAGGACAAGGCTTTTAAATAATCCAGGGTAGGGCTATATATTACTATATATATATTATATATATATAATATATATATTATATATATATATAGTAGGGCTATATATATTAAAAATAAATACACTTGGAAAGAACACTGAATTTCACTAAGAAACTTTACATATTTTAACAAATATACTACCTGGTTAATTTTAGGGAAGCCACTTAACTTCTCTAATCTTCTATTTATTTTTTTAATACTCAGAGTTCTATTTCCATTTACCTTTGAAAACCAACTTACCGAAGATTCACTATCACGAATGAGGAAATCACCTTCATGCCCTCTTTCATTTAATGCCATTTCTGCTTGGTGCCTGGTGACTTTCCCATAATACCATGGATTGCCAGCAAACTTTCCAGTGAGTGAAGGCCTAATGTAATCACACTGTGGAGGCGATGGTTCCAAACCTGAGGTTAATGGATTATTCTGCATAATGGTAACATAGTTTTTCGGCACCAGACCAACCATTCCATTGATCTTCCTGCATTTCCACCACTCAGGGTCATTTTCAGGTTTTTCAATAACATCCATTACATCGCCTTTCTCAAAATTAAGTTCTTCATCATTGGACGAGCTGAATGGGTAAAGAGCCTGTACCACATGTAACACTTGCCCAGTATTTAGGTTACTGACAACTGCTGCTAATTTCTCTGACAAAGAACCCACATGGTCACCCAAAGGACTGTCGCCTTCCTCAGTCACATAGTTTGAAGGGAACCATCCAACATGTCCATTGTAGCTACCCCGCCACCACCCATCACTGCATTTCTCCATGACGATCACCTTTGTCCCTTTTATCAATGACAATTCATCCTCTCTCTCTGCCATGTAGTTAAATTTTACATAAGCAGGCATGTTGAGGTCATACAGACGTTCCCCTGGGTCAACAAAGCTATCATCAGCAGGAGATGCAGAATCTGGCACACTAGGTTTTCTTTTCACTTTTCCAATGCCTGTTTAAATAAAAAAGGGTAATGAGAATATAAAATAATGATAATCAAAAACACCAATTTATTCATTATTAAGAAAGTATCTTCAATTCTGTAATTCTTTCAAGCCTTTTTAACTAAGATAACAAATTCCATCCATCCTTCCTTTTTCCCCTCCCTCTCATTCTTTCTCTTTCTTTCTTTACATCCTCACAACTTATAAAGGCTCCAGCAAACCCGTATTCTTCTTGTCTTACTTTATTAACTGAGATTCTATTAACTTGCTGTATAGAAATAAAATAGTAACTTAAATTACAATTTGATATGCAATATAAAATTGTAGTTATGTCTAGGTAATCCCCCCATTTGCTTTCTTAGTTCCCAAGACCCAGGTTGCTCTATTTATTTTACCTCATGTTTATTTTAAAATAATATATCCACAACAGCAGAGACTTTTGCTGACTTTGTTCATGGATATAATCCCAAGGATCTCATACAGTGCTTAGTACACAGGAGATGCTTAATATATATTTGTTAAAAGAATGTAAAAAATAACCAAATGGTACTATCATCACAAATGTATGCTACAGCAACTTTAGTCAGGCATTTTCACCGCTGCTCACTTGAAAACTAAGGCATTCCTAGGTAAAATTTCTCAAATACTTTCTCACTACTCAAAATTCTCATTACCCTTACTCTTTTTCTTCTCCCAAGTTCCCAACCTCTGATCCTTCTGGGTTCTTAATACCTACCATCTTTCCTGCCTCTTTTTGGGACTCTTGGCCATCCTTGTTTTCCCTCCCACTCACTCCCTTCTATTGTCTAAAAACACATTTAGATCGCTTTTATTCCAAAATAAAGTTACTTCAACTCTGCTATTGTTTTTTAACTACATCATTCTTTATAAAACTGTCTTCCCTTTTTCCTTCAACTTTTTCACCACTCACTCACTCCTAACGCCTTATAATCTGGCTCTCTATCTCCACCAAAACTACTCAATTAAAACTGTCATCACTTCACTGCCAAATTAGTCCCTTTTAGAGCCCTCGGTCTTTTCAAACTCTCTATACAGCAACCAAGATCACAGATAACTCTGTACCACATTTTCTCCTTCTTTAATTTCCCCGAGAGTCTCCTGTTTTTCCTACTGACCTGTTTAAATATTCTTGTGTTCCTCTGTCTGGGCTCCTCTAAACATTGTTATAAAATTGCATTGTACTTGCTTACTTGTCCATCTAATAAGAGTGAGTTTCCTGGGGACAGTAAGCTGGATCTTATTACCTTGTATTTCCAGCACTTAGCAGTAACTATACTAGTAGCAGGAACAAGGTGAATGTTTGCTGAAAGAACAAGTGAATGATTCCTTTGTTGAAAGTGTTTCCCAAGATGCCATGCTTGGACTTAGCCTCTGCTTCAAGGAAATCATACACTTTCACTTTCTATAACTTCTGTATAGAAGGTTCCAAGGTCTCTTTGTAGCTCTAAGCTGGAATTCAAGCATTACAATTCCAACTGTCACTAGACATCTACAGAATGAATGTACTATCAGCACCTCAAATACAACCTCCATGTCCAAATAAAAATAACCTCTCCAAGATCCATAAATCAACTAACTCCCTCCCTCCCAATTTCCTTCCTTCTGGTTAATGATGTATCATCATCATGAAAAATTCATACATCAGGGATTTCTGGCACAGCAGGGAACTCTAGGGTTCCATCCCTCCAAAAGAGCAATTAATGAGCTGGCGACTACTGTCAAAATCAACTTTTGCGGAACTCCAGAATCTAGTAAAAAACTTATAAAAACTAGCTAAGCTTAGTGAATAAAGAAGCTGCTGCTTTGTAGTAAGAGAGCACTGTAGCATTTTAAGCTGCCTGCCTAATATCTCTTAAATCCCAAATCAGTGGTGGCTGTGAGGATAGCAAACTGAACTTCTAATGCCAGACAGAATACAGATCTTATTCACAAAGAACTGTAATTGTGCGTTTCAACCTATCTGGAAGCTACCTGAAGGACCAGCACAATGACTTGCCTTGGTTTCACCTGACTTGGAGCATTCCCAGGGCTAGGATGTTTTCTGCTGAAATCATTTAATTGATGCAGCAGACTGGTAGAAGAAACAACAACTAGGATAAGAAACAGATAAAAAATCCTAGGAAGGAAAAGTTTGAGTAAGGACACAAATGGGGTAATAAGGGCTTTGAAAAGCCCCTGTGTATACCAGAAAATCAAGAAAGCCACACACATAGCCAGAACCAGCACTTGTTCAGCAAAGGCCTGAGAAGACCCTGAGCTTTCACCTATTGCTGACCTTCAAGCTCTGAAGAAGCAGTAAGTAAAGGCTAAGGAAGAGTTGCAAATGGCCTGGCTAAGTGTTGAAAGAGGTTTTTTCCCTTTTTCTTTTGGTTTCACATGTTTAAGAAAACTCTTTGTTGTTAGTTGTTGGCTAACAACTAAGCAAAAGAACACAGATGTGTGTGGTCACACAATGACACAGACTTTATAAAAATAATTTAGAAAAGTCACTAAACAAGCAAACAAAACAACCACAATAAGGAGCAACAACAAACCCTAGGGACAAGGTAGAATCTGATGCTGAAAGAAAAAAGTATCAGTCAAGAATTCCATGTCCATATATACACTATCAAACGTAAAATAGATAGCTAGTGGGAAGCAGCCACATAGCAGAGGGAGATCAGTTCGGTGCTTTGTGATCACCTAGAGGGAGGGGTGGGATAGGGAGGGTGGGAGGGACGGAGACACAAGAGGGATGAGATATGGGGACATATGTATATGTATAACTGATTCACTTTGTTATAAAGCAGAAACCAACACACCATTGTAAAGCAATTATACTCTAATAAAGTTAAAAAAAAAAAGAAGAATTCCATGTCCAGCAAAAGTGTCCTTTAAAACTGAGTAAGTTAAGATACTCCCAAGGTAAACAAAAACTGAAGGCGTCTGTCACACTACACCTATGCTACAAAAAACGCTAAAGAGAGTCCTCCAGGCTGAGATGAAAGGTCACTAAAGTCATATGGAGAACAGTGGTAAAGGTAGCTACACTGTAAATATAAAAAACGGTTACATTTTTAGCTTGTACGTCCTCTTTTATTCTTATATGATTTAAGATGCAAATATATAAAACTAATTTCAAATCTAGGTTAATGGGCACACAATGTATAAAGACAAATCTATAAAAGAGCAGACTTTTGTATACTATTGAAGCTAAATTTGCATTACTTCAAACTTGATTGTTAAAAAGTTAAGATGCTAATTGTAATCCACAGGGTAATCACTAAGAAAAAAACTAAGCACACTGAAAAAGAAATGAGAACAAAACAAAATGTACATCATAAAAAATTCAATTATATGCAAACGAAGCAACTGACAAAGGATTAATCTCCAAAATATACAAGCAGCTCATGCAGCTCAATATCAAAAAAAAACCCCAATCCAAAAATGGGCAGAAGACCTAAATAGACACTTCTCCAAAGATGACATACAGATGGCCAAAAAACACACAAAAAGATGCTCAACATCACTAATCACTAGAGAAATGCAAATCAAAACCACAATGAGGTATCACCTCACACCGGTCAGAACGGCATCATCAAAAAAATCTGCAAACAATAAATGCTGACGAGGGTGTGGAGAAAAGGGAATCCTCCCACACTGTTGGTAGGAGTGTAAATTGATACCGCCACTATGGAAAACAATATGGAGGTTCCTTAAAAAACTAAAAATAGAACTACCATATGACCCAGCCAGACCACTACTGGGCATATACCCTGAGAAAACCATAACTCAAAAAGACACATGCACCACAATGTTCATTGCAGCACTATTTACCATAGCTAGGACATGGAAGCAACCTAAATGTCCATCGACAGATGAATGGATAAAGATGATGTCGCTCATATATACAAATGGAATATTACTCAGCCATAAAAACGAACGAAATTGAGTTATTTGTAATGAGGTAGGTGGACTCTGTCATACAGAGTGAAGCAAGTCAGAAAGAAAAAAACAAATACCGTATGCTAATGCACTTACATGGAATCTAAAAAAAGTGGTACTGATGAACCTAGTGGCAGGCAGGGCAGGAATAAAGACGCAGATGTAGAGAATGGACCTGAGGACACAGCAGGGGAAGGGGAAGCTGGGATAAAGTGAGAGAGTAGCACTGACATATATACACGACCAAATGTAAAATGGATGGCTAGTGGGAAGCTGCTGCATAGCAGAGGGAGATCAGCTTGATGCTTTGTGATGACCTAAGGGGTGGGATAGGGAGGGTGGGAGGGAAGCTCAAGACAGAGGGGATATGAGGATATATGTATACATACAGCTGATTCACTTTGTTGTACAGCAGAAACTAACACAACATTGTAAAGCAGTTATACTTCAATTAAGATATGAAAAAAAAATCAATTATAAAAGGCAGTAATAAAAGAATTGAGGGGGAAAAAGGTATAAGACATATAGAAAAAACAAACAGCAAAGTATCAGAAGGCCTTCCCTACCAGTAATTTCTTGAAATATTCGATTAAAAGGTAAAGATTGGCAGAATGGATTAAAAAAATATGATCCAACGCTATGCTATCTATAAGACACTAACTTCAGATCCAAAGATGCAAACAGGCTTGAAAGTGAAAGGATGCACAATGACATTCCATGAAAATGGTAACAAAAGACCTTAAGACAAAAATTGTTACAGGAGACAAAGGACATTATATGTTGATAACAAGTCAATCCATGAAGAAGATTTAACAATTATAGATATATACACACCTAACAACAGAGCGGCAAGACATATAATAAAGCAAAAACTAACAGAATTAAAGGGATAAATTGACAGTTCTACGATATAGTTGGAGATTTCAATACCTCACTTTCAATATTGGATAGAACAAAAGACCACGAAACTGAAATCATATAAAATATCTTCTCTGATCACAGTGGAATGAAATTCAGAATCAATAACAGAAAGGAAAACGGGAAAATTTACAAATATATGGAA